ATGATCCATTCTAGCTTTGATAAATCATAAGTCTAAAATATGATCGAAGAAAACAGGACACTGTCTGGAGGGTAGGTATACATATGACCTGGAAGAAGGAGGTTAACCAGGCAAAATCCCACAAAGCTCCTACACTTTGAAAAGTAAAAAAAAAAAAAGTGGTAAACAAGAAAACATCAAACTGAATGAATGCATGGGGAGAGGGGGAACACTTCAAAAAGTTTCATAGAAAACTAGAATTGAAAGATACTATAATTTCTCCATGAACTTTTTGAAGCCCCCTTGTATGCCTTCATCAGATTTAACAAATTCAACCATTTCTTTCTCTATACACATTATACTTAAAAACCGTTCATAAACCAAAATTATAAATGTATTAGAGGAGCTATTGAGAGCACAGTGGCTCCATACAACAGACACTGGGCTGCGAACTACAGGGTTAGTGGTTCAAGTCCACCAGTCACTCCTTGGGAGAAAGGTGAAGCTTTCTGCTCTCACAAAGATTTAAAGCCTAGGAAGCTCTATGTCATCAAGTGACATCAAGTCAGTTTCAACTCATATCAACTCTATATAGGATTTCCAAGAGGTTGGTAAGTTTGAACCACTGACCTTGTGGGTTGCAGTCCAATACTTAAGGTCTATAGCGCCACCAAGAGTCCAGAAGCTCTATACAAGGTCATTATGAGTCAGAATTGACTCTGGCAGATAACAACAAAGTGGAGCTACTGCTTATGTTAAAGCAAACATGAATTCTACTGTAAAAGGAAATATATTTCTTTATGGTAAATTCACATTTCCACATGTGATATTTTGTTTATCAAGCAAGATACACTTGCACTTTTGGGCTACTATGTATTATTCTGCTATAAACATTTACATACAAGTTTTTGTATGGACATATATTTTTGGTTTTCTTGTGTATATATCTAGGCTTGGAATTACTGGATCATAAGGTAACTAAGGTCCAGGTGAGGCTAAGCATTGTTCTGCTAATCAAAAGATCAGCAGCTCAAACCCATCAGATGCTCCTGGGAAACTCTATACAGGGTTGCTCTGAGTGGGAATCAACTCGAGGCACTTAACATGGACTCTGTATTCCCTACACTAGTAATTCGGCAAATTTGCTGCAGAGAACCTCTATAAGCCTCTATAAAGTGTTAAAGACCAAAGATGTCAGTCACTTTGAGGACTAAGGTGTGTGTTCTTGACCATGGTATTTTCAATTGCCTCATATATATGTGAAAGCTAGAAAATGAATAAGGAAGACCATAGAAGAATTGATGTATTTCAATTGTGATGCTGGCAAAGAATACTAAAAGTACCACATTTCAATTGTGATGTTGATGAAGAATACTAAAAGTACCACAGACTGTCAGAGTAACAAATAAACCTGTTCTGGAAGAAGTGCAGTCGGAATGCTCCATTTCTAAGGATGACAAAACTTCATCTTAGGTACTCTGGTTATGTATTCAGGAGGGACCAGTCTCTTGAAAACGACATAATGCCGACTCAGTGGCTAAAACAATGGACTCAAACAACAATTTTGAGGATGGTGAAGGATAAGACAGTGTTTAGTTCTGTTGTATGTAGGATTGTTGTTAAACGCCATTGAGTTGGTTCTGACTCACAGTGACACTGTATATAGGGTTTACGAGAAGTGGCTGGTAAGTTTGAATGGCCTACCTTGCAACCTGACCTTGCAGTCCAGCACATTAACCTGCAACACCACATTAGGACTCCTGATTATAGATAGCATTGCTGTTGTTAAGTGCCATCAAGTTGGTTCCAACTCATAGCGACCCTGTACAGGGTTCCAAAGAGCAGCTGGTTAGTTTGAACCACAAACCCTGTAGTTCAAACCAATCCTGCAGTCCAGCGCATTAATCCACAGCACCACACTAGGACTCCATAGGGTAGTAGCTATGAATCGGAACCAACTTGAGGGCACCTAGCAGTAACAACAACATACACTAATTAAATCTTGCAGTTTAAATGACCAATTCATTGTTGTACTTTTCACGTATCAACTTCCACTTTTGCTCATGCTGTTTCTTACAACTGAACAGCTTTTTCCCATTTCATCAAAATGAAGCAAAACACTGCCATCCTCTTCATGAAGCCTGCCTTCATCATCTCACAAAAGATTTCTTTCTCTTCTAAATATTCCAAGCACTTGCTTGCACCATAGAACAGCACATTTTATTTTGTACTCTTAACAATATATTCTCTTTAAAGACTAAAAGTTACCAAAGGGTAAGGTAGATTCCCCAACATCTTTGTTTCCCCACACTGCCCAGTATAAAGCAGATGCTTAATAAATATTTAAGTTAGTTAAGTACTTACTCAACTATCTTTCACTCCTAAAAACAGCACTAATATAAGTAGCTAAGTAGTTAGACAGATCTCTCAGAAGTGATAAATTCCCAAAGACACTAAATAGCCAATTCTAACTGGAAGAAATCCCAGGCCATGCTGGGCAGCCTCACAAGGCTAACAAATGGCATTATTCAAATGCTTCCTAGAATTGCTCCAGCTACAAGCACATTTGAAGAATGAGGGCAATCTGAAGTAGCTCTGTAAATCAAAGAAAATCATCCTGCTGTCATTTTCCAGTCAAGCTTAAAATAAACTAGAACTTGTTACACCATAACGTACCTCAAGTAAGAGCTTCTTAAGTATACAGCAAGGGTGAGGAATAGCCAAGCAACAGGTTACAGCAGAGAGCCTAGATCTACTTCCTGGAATCTAGCTTGATCATCATGACCCCTGAGGACCCCTCAATAATCACCTAGCTACCAAATTTCTCTGTGGGATAAAGTTGAGGCTTTCTGCTCCAACAAAAAATTTAAAGATTCAGAAACCCTATGAAGGGTGGCAATGAGTGGAAACCAACTCGACCATAGTTAACAGCAACCAAGTATCTATTTTGAACATAATCACTATCTGAACCTCCTACTAGCTTCATTTCAACTAAACCTAAGGATGGAATCACCACCAACACCAACTCCTCCTGCCCCCCCACCTTCTCCCTCACCTCCAAAAGTAGAAGGGAGAATCAGATTTTGAAAATGATAATTCATTTTTAATCCAAAGACTGTTATTAATACCAGAAACCAAATGACCCTAAAATATTAATATAATCAGTGAATGTAATCAAGAACGTTAACTGTTTAAAACTAATCCTCTTAACATAAAAGAGGAAATTATATTTGCTAGTAACATAGTTGCCTTTGGAATGTATAAAGAACATTGCTAGTTCTTTTAAATAAATGACATTCTTAACACTACAATCAATCTATACAATACTTTCCTCTTTAGAACAGTTACATACAATAAAAGAAAAATATGAGATGCAACTTATTTTTGTTGCAGAGACTATCAACTACACAATACTGCTCAGATTAAAATACCACTTCTGCCCTCTGGACTCTAAATATTGCTTGAACTTTACCACCTTGAAAGTAGAAATTTGGAGATAAAAGCATGCTTCCAGAAAAACTATCACCAAATTAAAAGTCTTTTTCAAATAAAAAAAAAGACGATATTTTGAAATTCAATTCAAAATTTTCAGAAGTATTTTACAAGCCATTATAAAACAAACCACCTTGCCATAAAAGCAGCAGTAACTAACCACTAAAACTAGCTGTCAGGGGGAGGCAGGCTGAAGCAAAAGCCAAGGATTCAAAACAATGAGAATTACAGAAATCCTTAAAGTCTTCTAAAGTAAAGTAACATTAACTTTAGACATCTACAGGCCTACAGTTGTCAATTTCAAAACCTTTTAAAAACAAATAGCCCAAAGGAACAAAACTAGTAACTAAGAAAATGAAACAGACAAGACAAGAAGCAGTATCTCTTTGAAAATATTTTCAGGATTTTACATTTTAAAATCCATAATTCTGAAAACATTTCATGTTTCTCAAACCTTTTCCAAGCTTCTTATAAGTTACCTTAAACGACTGTTGCAAATAATACATAATTCAAAAAGTGTTTAAACTGACGAACATTTTATCAAATGTATGGCAGGGATTATCAAGAGTATGAAACAAGCAGAGGCAGAGCACGGAAAATGAAAACTGATAACCAAAAGGCTGTTTCTGGTGGGCAGAACTGGGCTTGGATTGGCAAGAAGGAAATGTTCAAATATATTCACAGGACAAGTTCTACCAAAAAACGAGTCCATGCCCTTATAATTTACACAAGCATATGTTTTTAAATGTACTTTTAACCTTCGGACAACCAAAGTGATATCATATACCTTTAAGCATTGTTGCCTACATTAATGTTGATGTTACAATTAAAACCCTAACAAAATTCATATTCCACCTTTTCATAATTAACCACTGCAAAAATGGAAAAGGCTTATATCCTCTAAGTAAAGGTTACCTTATTTTTCACTTGTTTAAAGTTTCAGTTTTGCTTTGAATGTATTATAGAAAACATCCCTTGTGGGATGTTGTAAAGGGCAGACCCTCCTGTCAAGCCAGAAGGCTCAAACACAAAGACAGTGAGCTAACCAAGTGCTGTAATTCTTCCAAACTGAGCCTCCACACCCCCTCCACCCTTCCCCCCAACAGATATGTCTATTAAATCAGTGTCTGTTCTCCCCCTCGCACAACAAAGAGAACTTCTCACCGCATGAAATTGCCGCTGAATGGACACCAGAAAGCAGGATTTGCATAATTCCTTCCAACGAAACCCAGTCGGGAAGGAGGGGATGAGGGGCCCAAGCGAACGGCTAGAATGTCCTAGATTCTCTTGGGGAAGACCTGGTTCCCAAGAATATTCCCCACTGGGAGAAGGGGGCTGGAATTCGGAACCTCCCCGAGGACTGGGCGTGGGGGACGGAGGACGAGGAGCGAGCATTTCCCCACACCTCAGCAGCACCGAAGCCAAGATGGGGAAATAACAATGCTGGAGGACAGGAGAGTCGGACACACGGAGGGACTGGGGCTTGGGGGGGCGGCGGGCGGAGCGGAGACCCCACACGGGCCACTTACTTTTCGGAGGGGGGTTAAATATATGAGTTAAGCCCTTATGGTCCCGCCGGCCGCCGCACAGAGGGAAACGGGACCTTGGAAGAGAAAAACAGACAAAACACACAGTGTGAGAGGCGCAGCTCGGCCGCCTGGCCCCTCCCGGGGCGCCCCCGTCCACACTCCCTCCTGCCCGCGGGGGGAAAAGCCACCCGAGACGGGCCGGGGGACGGACGAGGCTCTCGGCGGCTCCAGCTCCGGCAAATCCCCCGGGAGAAGACAAGCGCGACTCCCGCTCCGGCTCCTCAAACGCACCCGATCCCACCTTCCCTTCCTCCCAGCAGCGCACACGCAGAACACAAATACACACACACCGACCCGTGCGTCCAGGACCGACTGCCCGGCCGCCGCCGCCGCCCGCTGAGGAAGTGTAGCCGCTGCCCCCCGCGGCCATGACACCCCACTTCGCTCGGTCAGGCGGACCCCGGGCCTGTGACAGCTCTGGCTCCCTCCGCCCCCATCTCTCCACCTCACGCCTCGCACACGCCGGAGCGCCGGACGCCCTCCCACAGACCGCGGCGCGTGCACGCGAGACAGGGCACGCGCCGCCGCCGAGCGCGGGGGGAGGGGTGGCGCGGGGGGAGGGTAGAGGCGACGCGAGACGGGGGGGTGGGAGAGCGAAAGTGGGGGCTGTGACCTGCGGGCCCCGATGCCCCCGCCCACCCCGCGCAGAACTCCGCGGCCCGAGTGGCAGCGCCGCGGCGCCGGTCTCCACAATAAACCTGCGGGGCCGCCGGAACGCCGGCCAGAGAGGAGGAGGGGCAGGCGCTCCCGCCGAGAGCCCGTCCCGGGCAGGGCGCGCGGAGAGGAGGGGCTGGCGCGCGCGCTCCGGCCCCGACAGAGGGAGGGAGCCCCAGGAGGTCGCGCGCCGCTCACACTCCGGGGGGTGGGGGAGGGGGATGCCGGAGCCCCAGAGGGCGGGCGGGCCGGAGGAGCAATTACCTCAGCCCCGGCTCCCTCCCTCGTCTGGGGAAGCCCGCGGCGGGGCGACCGGAGGACCGGAGGCGGCCGGGATAGGGTCTCACCTACACAGTGAATGAGCTTGTGGCGCCACGAATCCAATTCCTGCCGAAAGCCGCGTCTCTCAACGGAGCATTGCTGCCGCCTACACACCCTCGCCATCTTCTGCCGCCCGCCCGGCCCTGCCTC